CAGTCTACCTCCATGTGTCTGCTTATGCAGAACAAAGGAGCTTCGGGAGAATCCTGAAGGCGATGGGAACCCCAGGAGCAACCCCATCTATAACTCCTGAGGGTTGGAGTAGGGTGTCTGAGGGGTGGGATCCGAGAGGTAGGATGGGTGGCAGTAGGATGCGACAGAGGTGAGGTCAGCTGCCCAGCTGTAGGCTTGGGCCTCTCTTCAGGCCCACCTGCCAAAGCCTCTTCCTCTGCGTGGCCTGAGAGATAGGGGTTTTGTCCCCAGGAAGTCCAGATGGGGTAAGAACTAGGAGGAGGTTGATCACTGCCACACCCAGGGCCCCAGATGTGCCTGGGGGCCCTGGCAGCATCACTGACAAATAAATGAGACGTACTCTTGAAGAAAGAGCAGCTGGATCCACACAGGTTGCGCAATACCCAGGGTGGCTTGGCTGTGTGACTCCCTGGCGATGCTACTCCTGCTGGCCCTGCTGGGGGCTGCATTGCTGGGGACTTCCCTGCTCACCTGGTGGCATGCTCCAGCCCAGAACAAGATCCCCAGGGCCCAGAAATGGAGGGAGGTAGCACTGCAGAAGATGGAGGCCCTGGCCCAGTGACTGCAGCAGCAGGTCCCGGAGGCCCTGGAGGCCCCCAGCCACAGAGGGCGTTGGCCCTCAATCCCAACAGGAGGACTACACCTCAGGATGCCCCTCCCATCCATGGCCCCAGCCCCCGCTGACACAGGGTGGGCACTTCCCCACCCTTAGTTCTCCCCATGCCAGCTCTGTGTGTGGTTGCCAGTTCTCCTCCATCCCCGGCCTTTGAGACCCTGGAGACTGGGGGCAGTATATTCTTTCTCTGTTCTTCCAGCGTTTGGCACATGGCTCAGTAACATGGGAGGTGCCCATTTAGGGTATTTGCGGAAATAAGATAAACTGATGGAGGCCATTGGAGGAGGGAGGCCCGATCTCTTTCAGCCCCTGAGCACTCCAAAATCCCCCAAGAAAGGAACCCTAGTCTACCTGTCCCCTCCTACCCCCACCCCATTCAGCTCTGAAAACACTTGCTGAGCCCTGAGAAGTGAAGAGCACAGGGGGCTGGGGAAGGGGTCTCCCAGGAAGCTGCAGGCCTTAAAAGGCTGCTTTGGCAACTCAGGGTGGGAGTATTTCGCTGGGATAGCCTCTGTGGCTGGCTGGGCTGAGACTGGCAGGCCAAGTGGCTGAGCCACAGATGTATCAGCAAAGCCTGCCCCAGGTGGCAGAGAGAAGGGCGGGAAGGAGGGACATGGAGAAAAACATAGACTGAGCCTGGGATTTGCTGTGTGGCCTGGAGGATGTGACAACCGGTCTCTGGGCCTTGGAGTCCCCAGCTGCCAGAGTGGGGATGGGCTCATGGTCCCTCGGGGTCTCCAGCTTTGGTTGACGATGGTGGACTCCGTCTGGGCGCCCAGAGGTGGGGGCTGGGCTAGTGCCTGAGGCGTTGTTCCCATGCTCTGGAGTTCCTGAGTGTCTTCCCCCCGGACGGTGATTGATGGCCCCAACGGGCAGCTTCTGTGTCTGAGCTTCTGCAGTTGCTGAGTATGTGTATTAATATTAATTGGGGCTAATTAGTTGGATAAATCAATCTGCCCCCAGAGAGCAGCTGCCCCTCCCTGGTTGATGAGGAGGAAGTCTGGGCTAATGGGTTGCAGAGGTGAATGGGCATGATGGAGCGTCCTGTGCGCTTGTGGAGGCCCCATCTGTGTGCGGTGGTGAGTATAGCTTCCTTTACCGCGGACAAGGGCCTGCTTTCGTGTGCCTCTTGCTGGCGTTTCATTGTGTCGTGGTTGGTTGTGTGTCTGGTCTGGCTGTGTGGTTATGTGCCTGGCTGGGTGCGCATGTGTTGGGCTGTTGGTTGGAGTGTGTACATCTAGCTACGTGTGGCTGGTGTGGGTCTGAATGTCTGGTGGAGAGTGTTCGTGTGTGGTTGTGTGTCTGATGTGTGGAGGCAGATGGTTTGGTGTGTGTCTGGGCATCTGGTTGGTGAACATGTGGATGTCTGGGCTGCTGGGCTGGGGACCTGGAGGGGGTATATGTCTGGTTGATTGGAGGAGTGGAAGAGGTTTGGAGTGAGGTCACTCATGGTGTCTCCAGCTTCCCATCGTGGCTTCAGGTTTCTTGGCTCTTAGCACCTTGCTGTCTCCCCAACAAGCTATACAGTTCTGTCCTGGGCACCTTCTCAGTCATGTCACCCTCTCTCTGCCAGTGATATTCTCGAGGCCTCAGGTGTCCACCTTTATGTCCGAGGGGAGGTGCAAGGCTGGGACACAGGCCAAACCCTCACAGGCTCAAGCAAACAAATCCAATTCCACTGAGTTTAGTAAAATTTCCCAGGGAATTTCTCCGGGTCTTGCCCTGTGCTGAACTCTGGGGACAGGTTCATTATAAAGATGAATCTGATGCCTGGCTCACACTTGTGCTAAAAATGTTTCCAACCTGGGTGGGGTGTGGTGGAGGCAGAGTTGTGCAGACTATGCCGGGCGGCAGCACAGCAGTGTGGTGAGGCCAGATGCCCACGGAACGGGGGACTTGGCAGGAGGGTGGCTGGTGTGTCTGGAGAGGATCATGTGGGGAGGGCTTCCCAGAGAGGTGGTGAGTGAGCTGAACCTCACGGCACCTGTAGGAGTTTTCTGAAAGGAGAAATGAGAAAGGCAGTACTAGGGAGGGGGAAGCCCCAGATGAGGCAGTGTTTCTGTAGAACGTATAGAAAATAATATTCTTAGGACCCTTCGGGTAAATGGACCAGCTGCTCATGGTTGGAACTGCTCAAGCTGCTCGTGGCCAGGAAACTCTGCTCACCTCAGGCAGAGCCTGGCCACCTTGAGAGTTGATGGTTTTTATGATACTTAACATTTAACCACCACATTGGACTTTTTTTTTTTTTTTTTGGAGACAGAGTCTGGTTTTGTTGCCCAGGTTGGAGTACAGTGGCTTGATCTCGGCTCACTGCAACCTCCGCCTCCCAAGTTCAAGCAATTCTCCTGCCTCAGCCTCCAGAGTAGCTGGGATTACAGGCAAGTCCCACCACGCCCAGCTAATTTTTGTGTTTTTAGTAGAGACGGGGTTTCACCGTGTTGGCCAGGATGGTCTTGATTTCTTGACCTCGTGATCCGCCCACCTCGGCCTCCCAAAGTGCTGGGATTACAGGCGTGAGCCACTGTGCCCGGCCATAACTATTAATAATACATCAATTCAATAAAAACTTTACATTATATTTTTTTGTTTTCAAACTAGGTTGGAGGCAGCACCCTGAGTACAGAGAAGGCCGGATGTTCATGGTGCTGTGGGATGGAACAGGAGGGGAGGGTTAGCTGCAAACTAAATTATATATTAAAATGACAAAAAAGTGATATAACTTGAGGCTCAATTTTTCATCTAATTACTCTAATAATTTCCAAATAATTTGTTGATTTTTAGCTTTTTTTTTTTTTGACGGAGTTTTGCTCTTGTTGCCCAGGCTGGAGTGCAGTGGCACAATCTCAGCTCACTGCAACCTCCGCCTCCCGGGTTCAAGTGATTCTCCTGCCTCAGCCTCCTGGGTAGCTGGGATTACAGGCACCCACCACGTCCGGCTAATTTTTTTTGCTTTTTTGTATTTTTAATAGAAACGGGGTTTCACCATGTTAGCCAGGCTGGTCTTGAACTCCTGACCACGGGTGATCCGCCCACCTCGGCCTCCCAAAGTGCTGGGATTACAGGTGTGAGCCACCGCTCCTGGCTAATTTGTTGATTTTTAGAATTTGTTGTGAGGATCTTTTCATGTTGCTGTCATCTTTTGAAAGATGTCCCTGTCTTTCAAAGCGCTCCTGATACATTGCAGTCATTAGGTCATTTGCAGTCTGATTAAGGAGAGCCTTTCTCTTAACGTTAATGATATTGTTACTTGGGTGGAGTCCTCTCTCAGCTTTTGCTGAACCAGTAGCAATTACACTCACAGTTTTCTAGCTTTTCTAATACAGTGTTAGATTTCATGTAGTTAAGCATCTCTGTTGTCAACTAAGTAATAAACATAGTTATTAGACTGTCATTAACACTAATTAGAAGTCGTCTAGCATGGCAGCTAAGAGTGTGGCTTCTGTTACTGGGCTGGTTGTTTGAATCCTGACTCTTGACACTTTTTATTTTGTTTGATTTTATCATTTTACATTGTTTTGAACTCCTGGCCTCAAGCAATCCTCTCACTTCAGACTCCCAAAGTGCTAGCATCACAGGCATGAGCCACCAAGCCCAGCAAACACTTACACTTAAATGACTACTCTGTATCTTAACTTCTTCATCTCTACAACGGTATGGTGACTGTAATGATAGCACTCAAACAAGTTAATAAATGTTTTCAGTGGTGCCTGGTACACAGCAAACACCATACAGATGCTCCTCGACTTACCGTGAGGTTTCATCCTGATAAACTCATCCCAAATTGAAAATATCGTAAGTTGAAAATACGCTTAATACACCCAACTTACCTAACATCATAGCTTAGCCTAGCCTTTTTGAAATGTGCTCAGAACACTTCCATTAGCCCACAGTTGGGCAAAATCACCTGGCAACACAGTACCCTGTAGAGGATCCGCTGTTTCCCTTGTTATTTCTTGGCTGACTGGGAGCTGGGCTTGCTGGCACTGACCAGCATCGAGAATCAAGAGAGGATCTTACTGCTTTCTTCTTCTTTCTTTCTTTCTTTCTTTCTTTCTTTCTTTCTTTCTTTCTTTCTTTCTTTCTTTCTTTCTTTCTTTCTTTTTTTTTGTTTTTTGAGACAGAGTCTGGCTCTGTTGCCCAGGTTGGAGTGCAGTGGCACGATCTCAGCTCACTGCAACCTCCACCTCCCAGGTTCAAGAGATTCTCCTGCCTCAGCCTCCCGAGTAGCTGGGATTACAGGTGTGCACCACCACGCCGGCTAACTTTTGTATTTTCAGTAGAGACAGGGTTTTGCCATGTTGGCCAAGCTGGTCTCAAACTCCTAACCTCAGGTGATCCCCCCCACCTTGGCCTCCCAAAGTGCTGGAATTACAGGCATGAGCCACCGCGCCCGGCCTCTTACTGCTTTCTAATGAATGTATATCAATCTCTTTTGCACTACCGTAAAGTCAAAGATCGTAAGTTGAACCATGGTAAGTTGGGATTGTCTGTACAAGTGATTGTTTTCACTTTAGGAATGAAGCTAATGTTGTTGTCCATGATGAGTGGGTATTTCGGGTGAGCTGAATATGTTCTATTAGATGGATGTGATATTCTGTCCTCCCAGGTCCCTGAAGCGCCTGTTGTGGTCTCAGCAGCCATCTGCAGAGGTCACATTAGCCACCCCCAACCCCTGCCCTTGCCTGCTCTTCCCACCTCTCCCCAAGCTCCCTGAGAGTCAAAGTCCCCCAGAGGCTGCCATTCCCACATATGGCCATGCAAGGGCAGCTGTGGGGGAGGACTGGCCTCAGGGGCCCAGAGGAGCACATTAGGCACTTGCCCATGGGGGTGCCACCAGGGTGTCCTCTCTCCAGGTAGAAATAGATAAATGGGGGTTGGTGTGAAGCTGCTGATGTCTCTGGGGTGCGTCCGTGGACCTGTGAGTGCAGGGAGGTCCCTGGCAAGGCCCACTAGGGCTCCTTAGTGTTGGAGGGCGCAGGGCAAGGGATGAACCCAAGCTGGCCCTCCACAGTCCCTGTGCCTAGAGGGTCCTTGCTGGGCTGGGCATTAACTTTACTTGCTGGACTGTGTAGAGGGTGGAGTCCTGGGGAGGGGCCAGGACAACTGGGGTGGTGGGGGTGCCCAGCAGAACAGCTTTTTGCCAAGTGACTCAGAAATGTTTCAGTAGTTTAGCCACTGGCATGGCTGTGGCGGGGCATCCTGGCTGAATGCTAGCCCTGTCCAACGTATCTGTGTCTGGACCCTCCTGAGAGTCCCTGTGGCACACCAGCAGGGGAGCTCTGAGCTGTGGCACAACAACGAGAGGAACTGGGCAGTGTGGCTGGAGCAGCATGCATGGGAGAGGCCAAGAGAGACAGGCCCACTGGACCCAAGCAGAGAAAGAGCCTGATCCGGTGCCTGGCACCTTAAAAGGCCTCCCTTCCGCAGGATGCCCCAAGAGCCAGGAGAGGGTAGTGGTTAAGATATGGATGGTCTGGGTTTAAGCCCAGGCTCCCCTGTCCTCTGACCTTGGGCAAGAGAGTTAGTTTCTCTGGGTCTCAGTTGCCTTCACTGGGGAAATGGAAACACTAATAACAGCATTTAGCCAAGGGTTCTCAGCCCCACAGTGATACTCTGAGTACTTGGTCAATGGGAATTGTGTACATCGAAGCAGGAACCCATGTTACACGTTTACGGTGAAGGCTTTGCAAGTGGTGCTGGTGAGAATGGTGCTGCAATGTTATCCTGAGGGCAACTGGGACCTATTTTCAGAGTGGGCCTTGTAAGATCTTAAAAGGATTGCCCAGGCTGCAGGGAAGAGGTTGAGTTGGAGGAGTGGAGGCCAAGCCAAAGAGGCCAGTGAGGAGGCCGATGAGCTAACAGAGAGAGGTCCTTAGGCAGGCAGGAGGCCTGAGGGTCCGAGGTGGGAGATATGAAGGAGCAGAACCACCTGCAGGCAGTGCGTGTGGTTAAGAATGTGGTCACTGGTGTTGGACTGCCTGGGTCCAACTCTGCCACTTACTGGCTGTGTATCCTTGGGCGAAGAGGAGCTCTCTGTGCCTCAGTGTCGTCTTCTGCTGTGAAACGAGAAAACGATGTGACCTACCTCTTAGGGTTGTTGCAAGGGGTAATATGAGTTATTATATATTTAAAATTTTTAATTTACAATTTTCTTGGAGACAGGGTCTCATCTGTCATCCAGGCTGGAGTGCAGCGGCACGATCATAGCTCACTGCAGCCTCGAACTCCTGGCCTCAAGAAATCCTCCCAACCCGGCCTCCCAAAACTCATTATAGGCAATGAGTGATGATATGTAGTGTTTGGAATAGGGCCTGGCACTGTAAAGTGTTAGAACACATCCTAGTATGATTATGTTAGCTAGCGTAACTATTATCAGAACTTGGATGTGAGGGAGGACCTGGGGTGATTCTGAGGTTTGTTGCTTTGGTGACATGCATGTCATCGATTGGGAATTTCAAGAAGAAGAACAGATTTGGCTGTAAAAAGGTGAGTCCTGGGGAGTCCGTGTATATGTGGGTGTAGGTAAAGGGGTCTGAGTCCTGGTGGAAGAGAGGCCTGGGTTAGAGAAACAGGTGGTCTGCGTATCCTTGGGGTGCACCTGGCTGCCGAGGTCACCCATGGAGAGTGGGCAGGCAGGGAGAGAAAAGGTCACACCCCGAGGAACACCAACACTTCAGGAAACTGAGAAGGAGCCACCTGAGGGTGGGAGGAGGCCAGCAGAGTCGGGGGCATAGAGAGCTTCGGGAGGGAAAGTGTCAGGCGCTGCTGAGGAATGAGATGAAGACTAACCTGAATCCATAAGATTTAGTGACCGAGAAGTCTTCGCGCGCTTGGTGAGAAGGGGCGCAGTGCAGAGGGGAGGACTGGGTGATTGGAGGAACGAAAGAGGGCAGACTGGAGCCAGGGGATCCTAACCTCCCAGGGAAATTTATTTGCCTCCACCTTCTCCCACCTCCAGGACCAAGAAAAGCCCACTGTGACATCTTCCTGCCCAACTCATACTCCAGCTTGGAGGCATCGGGATCTCCACCAGAGCTGAGGGGGCAAGAGGAAGAGAACTTTGCCTTCCTGAGTGCCTGCTGCATGTCACACCTGCCCAGGACCGCAGTTCTGAGGGGCTGGTATCAGGCCTCCCCTCATATCCTGAAGGACAGGGCTCAGAGCAGCTGAGGGTCTGACTCAGGATTGACTCCTAGTCCTTCCCTCTCTGAGGAAACGTAGGCCATGGGAGGGGCAGGGGTCCATCTCCAGTTACCCAGCTGACCAAGGGCATGGCCAAGATGATGCCAACTCTCTTGCCACCCACTCGGGCTGAACTTCACTTCCATAACCTCCAGCCTCATGATGTCATGAATGGAGTCACCCCCACTCCAGTTGTGACCCTTCTGAAGAGCAGCATGAAGGGGCAGGCCCCTCTCCATGCCAGGCCCTGGGCTGGCCACTGGGGGCAGAGGCAGAGGAGAACATCGTGCCCTTGGAGGGTTTTCATGACAACCTGGAGACACAGCAGATGCTTTCAGTGCTAAGCACGAGTGCCGGAACATGTACTGAGCGACACAGACGTGTGTGCAGCTGTGTGTGTAGGGGAGTATGAGGTGTCATGTGGAGTGTGCGGGAGTGGGCCTTAGCGGGTCCATCTTTGAAATCTGCCTACTCCATCTCATCTCTGCAGGAGCCAGCCCTGGACCCCCAGCCAATCCTGGAGCTGCCCCTGGCAGAGCTGGCCCAGCAGCTTCGGACTGAAGAGCTGAGTCTGGAGAGTGTCCTCTGTAGCTACTTAGAGCAGGTGGTGGCCAGGGCACATGGTCCAAGCCAGGGGCTCTGGGCTGGAGTGGTGGATGTCACCTGTCATTGTTTTACTCAGAGGAGTGGGGGGCAGGTGTAACTCTGCCACTGACTTATGAGGTGGCACATGCCACAGTCACCTCAGGGTGGTAGGAGGGGCCAGAGCAACCGAGTGCCCTGCTTTGGTCCTGGCCTCACCTGGGGCTGTCGTCTGCTGTCTTCACTGTTGTTCAGGCACTGAAGGTGCACCAGGAGGTGAACTACCTGATGGATTTCCTGGGGGAATGTAAGGAGGAACTGCAGGCATTGAAGAAGCTTAAGACGAGTGACAGAGGTCTTCTCTATGGGGTCCCCATGAGCCTCAAGGACACCTATGACTGCATGGTGAGCATGGGGTGTACACGCACATGAATGTGCATATGCACGCGTGTGCCACCAGCCTGGAGCTCTGTGTGACACTGGGGAGCTCAGTGTGTGATACTGGCGAGTCATTTAAAACTGCACAGCTACAAAGTGGCAAACTGAGATTTAAACCCAGAATTTGGGCTCCAAACCCCAAATTCTCAGCCACCACACTCTTTTGCCATCCATGAAGTGCCGTGCTTGTGTCCCCAAGGGTGTGAGAGTGTGTGTGAGTGGGGGTGGAGTGGGGCTGAAAATCAGCCAGCTGGGTGGTTCCCCCTTGACCCTCATGGCTGGAGGTAATGTTCCTTCCCTGCAGGGCCATGACTCTACTTGCCTCCTGGCCCAGTTCCCGGAGAAGCCTGCAACCAAGGACGGGGTCATTGTGAAAGTGCTCAAGGCCCAAGGAGCCATCCCCTTTGTTCAGACCAACATCCCACAGACACTGCTCAGGTCTCTGAAGCGGGCTAGCTGGGATCTGGGCTGGGATAAGCCCAGGGCTGAAACAGCTCTTTAAAGTCCCATTTCAGGGCAGAGGGTGAGGAGGGGGCTAGTCATGCAGACTTCAGAGACCAGGGTTCTTGGGCCAGCCCTTTCTGTCCCTGGGGCTGAATTCCTTTATCGTAGAACATGTGGATGGACTCCACAGTCTATAAGGGCCCTTCGGGCTCCAAGGTTCTGTAAAGCTACACTCTGTTTCTATCCCAGTTTCTCTCTCAGATTGTTCTATTTCTATCCAGCCTTCTCTCTTTGATTGTTCTCCCCATCACTTATTCTCTCCCTTCCCTACTCAGCCTGTAGAGCATCTATGTTTCGTGAGGAACATGTTTTCAGTTCTGATGGCAGAGCTGTGGGCTCTTTGGTCCTAATACTAGGAGTCATGGCTGGTGTCTGATCTTGGTCTTTCTTGCAGCAGCGGCCCCTCACTCCAGCTGGAAGGGAGTCCAGGAAGCCTCAGCCTTAGGGAGGAGCTCATGGAGCCCAGGAAGCCCTGGGGTCGACTCTGGAGGGTGGTTGGCCCCCATATGGGGAGGGGTCTGCCCAGTGAGGCTTTCACTCTCAGCTCCTTTTCTTCTGCTTCCCTTAGCTTTGAGTGCAGCAACCCCATCTATGGCCAGACGTTGAACCCACTGAACTTAAAGAAGACATGTGGGGGCTCCTCAGGGGGAGAGGGAGCTCTGATGGCAGAAAGAGGGTCCATCCTAGACATGGGTACTGACACAGGTGACAGCATCTGCATATCAGCCAGCTTCTGTGGTGTTTATGGCCTCTGGACCACAGGTTTCCACCTCAGGTACCCATTGATGGTGGTGGTGGGGTGGGTTTGGACCTGCCTAGAGGAACTAGGGGAAGTAGAGGGGTCTGCTCCTCCCATCAACTTTCATCTACCCAGCTCAGTACTAGGGGAAGTGGATAGGAGGGCTTCAAATAACTCCTGCAGTAGCCATGCCAAACATACCATGTTTTGTCCAGGCAGCAGCAATGTAATTAATGTAGAAGTAATTAATGACCTTCCACTCATTAATCCATCAGTTCATTAATTCATTAATCAATACAACTCTCCATCCACATACCCCTTCTCTTACTCACTCATCAATCTGTCCATTTATCTATCTATCCGTCCGTCATCCATTCAACTACCACGTGGTCATCATCTCAGTCTCTATCCATCAATTAATTTTACCATTCAACGACTATTTATTTAAAAGATTTTTATTGAGTATTTACTGTGTCAGACATAACAGTTCCTTGGGTACTAGCTACTTGGGTAGCCCTTGAAAAACTTACACACACCCTTCCTTCCAACCATTTATTTATCCATCCATCTTTCCATCCATCCATTTGTGTATCCATCCGTCTATCAATCCACATTTGTATCCATCCATCCATCCATCCATCCATCCATCCATCCATCCATCCACCCATTCATCGTGTATGCATGCATGCATGCATCCACCCATCTCTCAACTCCACTCTGTGTACCCACACCATGGCACCTATACTGGGGACACAGACACTCTTGGACCCAGCCCCTGCCCCTGCCCCTGCTGTGCTCTTAGACACAGAAATGACTTAGTCAGAAAGTGATCAGGTCTCTAAGAGAGGGTCAGAGCTTGTGGGAATGCACAAGAGGAAGCTGACATTTTCTTCAACAGAGATTTATTAAAAGCTTATACTCTTGACTTTCAGAGCAGGGCAAGGGAAGGGAAGGATTCCTGGAGGAGGCAGCATTTGAGCGTGGTTTTGAGGGCTGGACATGCAGAGATGATGTGGCGTCTAGAAGGCTGTAAGATAGTGTGTAAGTGGCTGACCTTGCCTGCAGCAATATGCACGTATGGAAGGGCTAGAAGGGGAAGCCATGGAGAGTTAGAGCCTTGAAAGGCAGTCAAAGAGATCAGACTTTATGCTGTGAGCAGTAGAGAGTCACGGAAGGTTGAAGCAGCTCCTATTTTTCTGGGCTGCACCCTGGGGGAGCTCAAGCCTCCTGGCACCCCGGCACCTCCCTTCACAATGCTGAGCTGTGAGAGTGTTTTGCAGCTACACTGGAATTGCCTCTGCCATCAAGGGGAGAAAATTGGGTAAGTCCTGGTCTGTGCCTGTGGTCACCCCATTTAAAGATGAACCTGCCCGTCTTTCTCCCAAGGACATTTTGCTCAGCTTATATCTCCAGACAGATCAGCCCCACAGATGATGACTGGGAGAGGGACTGCATGGTTCCCACCCGGCCTCCCCTTGTCCAGTGACTCTTGGCCCTCTGAGAAGGGCTTCTGTCCTGCTATCTAGCTTTAATCTCTTCCTTTGTCTTGACCATGACCCTGGAACCCACCCTCTGAGACCAGGCAGTTGGGATGCCCAGGGCAGAACAAATGAGAGCTGCTGGCTGGGTGCGGTGGCTCACATCTGTAATCGCAGGACTTTGGGAGGCTGAGGCAGGCAGATGACTTGAGGTCAGGAATTCGAGACCAGTCTGGCCAACATGGTGAAATCCCGTCTCTACTAAAAATACAAAAATTAGCCAGGTGTGGTGGCGAGCACCTGTAATCCCAGCTACTGGGGAGGCTGAGGCAGGAGAATTGCTTGAACCGAGGAGGCGGAGGTTGCAGTGAGCAGAGATCATGCCACTGCACTCCAGCCTGGGTGACAGAGGAAAACTTCGTCTCAAACAACAACAACAACAAACAAACAAAATGAGAGGTGCCTGCTTCTCTCCCCTCCTCTTTGTGCAGTGACTACAGTGGCGGTCCCCATGGCGTGGGACGTGGAGAGCCTGGCGCTGTGCCTGCGAACCCTGCTGAGTGAAGACATGTACCGACTGGACCCCACTGTGCCCCGGATGCCCTTCAGGGAGGAGGTAAGCCAGGTGGGAGAGCAGAACTGGGAGTTTCCTTGCCCCCTACCATCATTCCTCCCTGACCTGTCTGCCATCTCACCTTCCCAGGTGAAGACCCCCTTACCCACCCCAGGCTACAGTGAGTGAGAAGCCCACATGCTCAGTCCAGTTTGTTTCCTGCCCCTGCTGGAGGCCAGCTGCTTTGGCCTCTTGGCTATCTGGAGCCATAGCTGTAAGTGCCCCCAAAGAGGGCCTCCAGTGCCATATACTCAACCCATGCAGGCAGAATACTCAGCAAGTGTGGTTCAGAGGATGTGGCATCCAGTTAAGCTAGGCTTTTAACCCTCTAGGTAACCCTGGCCAAGTCACATCTCTTCTCTAGGCCTTAACCTCCCCATCAGTACAATAAAGAGGTTAGGCTGGGAGATCACTCCACACCCTTCTGTCTACAGCAGCCTTCATTTATTCGTTAATTCATTCAACAACATTTGCTTGTACCAGCTGTGTGCCAGGCTCAATGTGTCTCATCCTAACACTCTACAGAATGAGCAGTGCTCCTCCCATTTACAGCTGGGGAGGCTGAGGGGAAGTGAAATGACTTGCCTATGATCATGTAGTTAGTAACTGGTAGAGCTGGCTTTGAACCCAGCAGAACCCTCTCCATAGGGCAGTTTCTGTCTACCTCCTGGCAATGTCTGTTCCTCCGATTCCCTACACCCCTCCTAGCATTATCAACCTGAGATCATTGTATATCATCCATGATTTGCCCCTACAAACATGCAGTGTGTGATGGGTGAGGGGTGGCAGCCTTTCTGGCAGCACCTCACTTCCTAGGACTAGGGGCCCTCCACCCCAGACCCTAGTCTGGGTATTTGCCCCTATGATCTCCATCCTCATCTTCTCCTAACATTTCTCTAGCTTAAAGATATTTTTGTCTATGCATGACTTACTCACCTGCCCACCCACTCAACTCCAACCATCCATTCATCCACTCACCCACATATGCATTCAACCCTCTGCCCACCCAGCTACCCACCGTCTCATACATACATCCACCCACCCACCCAGGAGTCAGTCTACCATCTATCTACTATCCACCCCATCCGCCCAATCACCTATCGCATCTATTTCTCCTTCTTCCAGGGGGTTCCCCAGAGCACCTAGAGCCTGGAGAGTATATAGGGAGGCTCCCGCAGGTCTTGGGGTGTCCACGTGGATTCCCCCCTTGGTGAGGACAGCTGTAGACCAAGGCCCTGCCCTTAAAGTCTGGTTCCTGGAGACAGTGGGGCCACCTTGGCCCCAGCCCAGTCTCTCCTCTGAGCTCCACCCAGCCCCTTGTGCCCCCAGGTTTATACCAGTAACCAGCCCCTTCGAATCGGCTACTATGAATCAGATGGTTACATCCAGCCATCCCCTAGCATGGCCAGGGCTGTGCAGCCACCTCTTGGCTGCCCCAGGATGCATGACACCAGATAGTTTCACCTGGTCCTGGGTGAGAGAGAGGCCAAGCCAGTGCGAGGATGCTGGGCAGGGCCATCCTTGGAGACAAAGGTGGCTACATCTGAGTTTGAGGTGCTGAGATAATTGTGTTTCCCCTGTGCTTCCTGGAGAAGACTGATGGGGTGGAGGTGGGGATAGGGTGAGCCCTACCCTGTAAGGAAGGCATCAAGCTTTTGTGTCTTCTTCCTTCAGGGGTGGAGATTCAGGAACTCACTCCTGTAATTCCTTTAGCTTGGGTCTCTGTTGCCTCCATCAAGGGGCTGTAAGGAGCTTTCTGTCTCCAAAATCCCCACCCTAGCCTTACCCCCACCTCCCCTGCCTCCAGTGGCTTGTCCTGGCCTCACTTCCCCTTTGAGATTCTACAATGTGATCTTGCGCTAGCCTTTTAAATTCCCTGGGCTTGTTTTCTACCCAATGGGGTGGCTGTGAAGATTAAATGTGGTTCCATAGATAAAGCACTTGGCATGCTGGCTGGGTCACAGTGAAGCGTGAAGGAAATGAGGGCTGCTCTCGTTCTGTTCTGTCGCATCTGTGTGTGGGGTGAGGGAGTGGGGTGGCAGGAGAGCGACCAGTGACACAGGCCTCCCATGCATGCTGAGGCACTGAGCTGGACGGAGATGCACCAGATGATGTGGCATCCCTCTTGAAATCTTGGGGGATACAGAGACAGAGAACCAGGCAGGGTTGGGGAAGCTCCGGATCCTGACTCTGCCTCTGCCTCCCCAGGTTATCCCCTTCTCCATCCCCCGGGCAGAGTGTGCCATCAAAGACTTATATGCAGGGGGGATGTTTACTGATGGAGGGGCCACTCTTCTAGAGAAGCTGTACATTATCTGCTGGGACTCAGGGGTGGGGCATGGTGGAAACAAGGTAGGGGAGGGGGCTGGAGCCAACCTGAGTCCCAGGAGGGAAACTGGGGGCCTGGGCTGGGATGGCTCTGGCTAACAGTGTGACCTTATGCAGCAAGCCACCCACTGCGCCTGTCTTTAGGATGCACCTGTTCCGGGGGTGGGGCTGAGAGCAGAAGCGCATCTTTGGGTTTGGCCTTCTTCTTGTCTACAGAGTAGAAGTTGGTTGGCTGTGGGGGCAGGCCATTGGCTAAAGGCTGTGATTGACCCATCTGTGACTGGTTCCTCAGAGAGGGGGACATTGTGGATCCTAGCGTAAAGGGCATGGTCAACCAGCTCTGCCTGCCAGACCCTGTCAAGTGTTTCTTGGCCTGGTTCCCAAGGTACATAGTAAATGCGGGCCCTGGTTAGGGAGGGCTTTGGAAGGGCAGGGGCACAGGGAGTAGGAAGGGCTCAGAAAGCAGAGGGAGCCCACAGAAGGAGAGGAAGTGGGGTCAGAGGGAAGGATGAGACCCAGAGAATGGTGGTAGCTCAGAGAGGGGTTCAAAATGGGGAAGAAGAATGAAGGGCTGGGTAGACGGTGGCTCCTGTCTGTAATCCCAGTACTTTGGGAGGCCAAGGTAGGAAGATCACTTGAGCCCAGGAGTTTGAGACCAGCCTGGGCAACACAGTGACACTCCATTCTCTAAAAAGAATGGGGAAAAAAAAAACACAACTAGCTGGGCATGGTGGTGCATGCCTGTGGTCCCAGCTACTCAGGAGGCTGAGGTGGGAGGATTGCTTGAGCCCAGAAGGTGAAGGCTGCAGTGAGCTGAGATTGTGCACTGCACTCCAGCTTGGGTGACAAGTAAGACTCTGTCTAAAAAAAAATTAATTAAAAAAAATAGTGAAAGAAGGGGATGGGGCTAAAAGAGTAGGGTGCTCACAGAGAGGGGAGGGGGTTTCAGAGAGGAGGCTCAGAAAGGGGGAAGGGCATTTGGAGGGCTGCAGGGCTGGTGTGAGCTCGGAGAAGCTCAGGGCTTGGTGAAGTGGTGTAGGCTTGTTGAGGATCGGAGGGTTCCATGTCAGTGTGTTGATTCATGCCACCCTTCTTGGACCCCCTCCCGGGCAGGCTGGCTGTTTCCCTGTGGGTTCTGAAGTTGAACTCACCATCTCATCCCCCTCTAGGATCCCCGAACTAGCCAGCATCTTGAAGAGATTCGTGGAGTGGGGTGAGTCTCCCTAGGGCCAGCTTCTACCCACAAGGGTTGTCCATGGGATGGTGGGAATTGAGGAGGGGCATGTGGCTAGAGTTGGTGTCCACTTAGAGGAGGAACTATTTAGATTTTGGACTTTAATTAGTGTTTTAAGATTATGCCTGACATTAGCGTTATATTGAGACTTTTGATTGGTGTTGGGACTTGATTTGGAGTGAAGATCTGAATTAAGGCCGGGTGTGGTGGCTCATGCCTGTGATCCCAGCACTTTGGGAGGCCGAACGGGAAGGATCATTTGAGGCCAGGGATTTAAGACCAGCCAGGACAACATGATGAAACCTGTCCCTACTAAAAATACAAAAATCAGCAGGTGTGATGGCATGTGCCTGTATCCCAGCTACTCGGGAGGCTGAGGCATGAGAATCATTTGAACCCAGGAGGTGGAGGTTGCAGTGAGCCAAGATGGTGCCACTGTACTCTAGCCTGGGTGATAGAGAGAGACTCCGTCTCAAGGAAAAAAAAAAATTCTGAATTAAGGCTAAACTAGGTTGAGGTAAAGTGTGGCGCTGAAGTTGAGATTAGGTTTTATTTGGGGTTGGGCTTAAGACTGAGGCTGGGGTTGCAGTCGGTTTGGGTTGGGGTTGGGGCAAAGATAGATTTGGAAGTGGGTTGGGACTGAGGTTGGAGTTGGGGTGGGGCTAGAGTTAGGGTTAGAGATGAGGTTGGGAGAGGATTCTGGTGTGGGCTTGGGTTTGCTGTTGGGCTTGGCCTGGTGGGGTTGGTGTTGAGATGCTGGGCAGAATTGGGTTGGAGTGGCCTGAGGGCTAACTGGGTGCCTCACAGATTAGGGTAAGGAGCCTGTGGCCTTTGAGGGAGCCCCTGAGTTCCTGCGACCGGTGGAATGAAGGGTGGATTGACCAGAGGATGTGTACTCTTGGGGACCTTGGGCAGGCAAGATGTCTTGGCCAGGGGACAAGACACAGGGTCACTCCCATCCCATCAGTTGATTTGCAGTGTGCACTGAGGCCTTGGGTGCCATGTCCCCATTTGCATAAAAGGGGTCCCTCCCATGCTGACCTTTGAATTTCTCAGAGTCTTCCTCGTTCTTTCAGGACACCCAAGAAACTGCGGGAGCAGCACACAGCAGTGGAGGTAATGCATGCCTGGGAAGACCTTGAGGGGCTGCTGGAGCCGGGGCTGCAGACACCTGGGTAGTGCCCTGAGTGGTCAGAGTTATGGCCTGGCCTGCAGAGGAGGCCCAACTGGACCTGGGTGGGGGCGCTTGGTGACCTCAGAAGTTATTCTAGTCTATCTCCCTAGAGCATTGTCCGCAAATCCTTGTGACCTGAGATTCAGCTTCCCATTCCTTCACCTCTGTCCCTGGGAAGACCCTGAACCTCCACAGGTATCTCAGGCCAAAGCTCATAGCCTGAGACTTCCTCCTGGTGTGCAACTCAGTGCTGCCTGGCAGCATCTGACCTTGTCTGGCAAACAGTAACCCCTGCTCGTCCTAGCCTTCCCACCCCTCACTGTCCCTGCAGGAATATCAGCAAGAGTTCATAGCCAAGTGGAGGTCCCTGGACCTGGATGTGCTGCTGGTGCCAGTTCTGGGCTCTGTCTTCTATATAGGCTCTTCCTCCCTAGCACAGTGGGTCCTGGTGGGGTTGAGACTGGGAGTCCAGGACTCCTGAGTCCTGCCCTAGCCTCTGTGATCTTGCTCTCTGTCTCCATTCACTTTTTAAAAATATTTCTTAAATTGAGATAAAAGTCAGATAACACAAATTCACTATTTTAAAGTGTACAATTAAGTGGTTTTTAGTATTTCAAAATGTTGTGCAACCACCACCATTGTAAAATGTCTGAACATTTCTGTCACCCTGAAAGGAAAACTTGTACCTGTTAGCAATTTCCATTCACTTTGAACCATATGGAAGTATAATTCACACGCAATAAAATTCACCGATTTTAAGTGTAATTTGATGAATTTTGACAAATGTATACAGTTGTATAACCACCACTATAATCAGAAATACAGAATCTATTTTTAGAATTTATAGGATATATATTCCATCACCCCCAAATTTCCCTCATGTTTCTGCAGTACACTCTATCCCTAACCCCAGCACCCACCGATCTGCTTTCTGTCACCATAGTTTTGCCTTTTCTAGAATTTCATACAAATGGAATCAAAGGGTATGAAGCTTTTGTGTTTGGCTTCTTCCACTTAGCACATCCATTTACTCCTTTTTTTTTTTTTTTTTTGAGACAGAGTCTTGGTCTGTCACCCAGGCTGGAGTGCAGTGGCACAATCTCGACTCACTGCAACCTCCTCTGCCTCCTGGTTTCAAGTAATTCTCCTGCCTCAGCCTCCCAAGTAGCTGGAATTACAGGTATGTGCACCACCATGCCTGGCTAATTTTGTATTTTTAGTAGAGACACGGTTGTGCCATGTTGGCCAGGCTGGTCTTGAACTCCCAACCTCAGGTGATCCACCCACCTCAGCCTCCCAAAGTGCTGGCATTACAGGCGTGAGCCACCCTGCCCGGCCCATCCATTTACTCTTAACATGTTCTCTGCTGCCCCACTTCAAAAGGTGTCTTCAGCCCAGCCTGCCCAAAACATGGGCTCAGGACAGGGTAGTATCTGGGGCATCCCTGGGTCCCATGCAGAGGTGCTGGTCTCCAAGGTGCTGCCCAAGGCAGGATGAAACTCAGTTCCAAATCCGAACCTGACTCCTCTCCCCTGACCTTAAGAACATGTCCTCCTGGGTCCCCCCACCGTGGCCAGCCAAAAGGCGCATCCCACGCCTGACTCCCTACACACTGCTGGCTGCTGCCGAAGAGCTGTCCTTTCAACTCCAGGTGGCGCTGTACACCCCTACTATCTTGAAGTCCGGTGCACAGGAAGGCATGGGCTGAATCCTCTGCCATCCACTAGCTGTGTAGCCTTGGAAAAGGCCCTAATCCTGCCGCCTCGATTTCCTCACTTGTACACAGTCAATAGTAATCCCCACCTCACAGAGTGGAGAGGATTCAAGGAATTAGCAATGTGATGAGGCCAGCACAGTGTCTGGCACTAAGTAAGGCTTCTGCAATGCAGATTCCCTCCTTCCCTTCACCCTGGGGAGAGCCTGAGGCCATTGTCAAGATGACTCCTGACGCAAACTGGCTGCTCCGAGCCCAGAGCGCTGAAGTTCCCAGAAGGACCGGGAGGGGGCGCCCACCCACATTCTTCTGCAGCTGAGTCTGCGCTGACGATTTCCTGGGCTTTTCTGGATCTTCCTGCAGAAAGCCAGTCTTACATGACCCTGTACAACCTCCTGGACTTTCCCGCGGGCGCGGTGCCTGTCAGGACGAGGGGAAACTGGCCTTCTACAAGGGGTACTACGGAGATAGTTCTGACAAAAATTTCTCGGAGGTCAGTTTCCTTCTCCGTGCCTCTCCCGCAGCGGGGACTAACCAGGGCTGGTTCTATCCGGGTTGGGGCCCGTGGCGGGTGGTGGTGGAGAGAGTAGGGCGGGGCTGGTGTTTACCCTTCGGCACTTATGCTACTTTCACCCCAACCCTGAGGACACATCATTTGACCTTCATGACAGCCCCACCCATGTCAGGGGAGAAAACTTTGCAAAACCAGTGGTTTTCTTTGCATTTCTTCTTCTTCTCCTCCTCCTCCTCCTCCTCCTTCCTCCTCCTCCTCCTCCTGCTCCTTCCTCCTCCTCCTCCTTCTCCTCCTTCTCCTTCTCCTCCTTCCTCCTCCTCCTCCTTCTCCTTCTCTTCCTTCCTCCTCCTCCTCCTTCTCCTTCTCTTCCTTCCTCCTCCTCCTCCTTCTCCTTCTCCTCCTTCCTCCTCCTCCTTCCTCCTCTTCCTCCTCCTCCTTCTCCTTCTTCCTCCTCCTCTTCTTCCTTCTCCTTCTCCTCCTTCCTCCTCCTCCTCCTTCTCTTTCTCCTCCTCCTCCTTCTCCTCCTCCTCCTCCTTCTCCTCCTTCTTCTCCTCCTTCCTCCTCCTCCTCCTCCTTCTCCTTCTCCTCCTTCCTCCTCCTTCTCCTTCTCCTCCTTCCTCCTCCTCTTCCTTCTCCTTCTCCTCCTTCCTCCTCCTCCTCCTTCTCCTCATTCCTCCTCCTCCTCCTTCTCCTCCTTCCTCCTCCTTCTCCTTCTTCCTCCTCCTCCTTCCTCCTCCTTCTCCTTCTCCTCCTTCCTCCTCCTCCTCCTTCTCCTTCTCCTCCTTGCTCCTCCTCCTCCTTCTCCTCCTTCCTACTCCTCCTCCTTCTCCTCCTTCCTCCTCCTCCTCCTCCTTCTCCTTCTCTTCCTTCCTCCTCCTCCTCCTCCTTCTCCTTCTCCTCCTTCCTCCTCCTCCTTCCTCCTCATCCTCCTCTTCCTTCTCCTTCTTCCTCCTCCTCTTCTTCCTTCTCCTTCTCCTCCTTCCTCCTCCTCCTCCTCCTCTTTCTCTTCCTCCTCCTCCTCCTCCTTCTCCTTCTCCTCCTTCCTCCTCCTCCTCCTCCTTCTCCTTCTCCTCCTTCCTCCTCCTTCTCCTTCTCCTCCTTCCTCCTCCTCCTCCTTCTCCTTCCTCCTCCTTCTTCCTCCTCCTCCTCCTTCCTCCTCCTCCTTCTCCTCCTTCCTCCTCCTCCTCCTTCCTCCTCCTCCTCCTTCTCCTTCTCCTCCTTCTTCCTCCTCCTCCTTCTCCTCCTTCCTCCTCCTTCTCCTTCTCCTCCTTCCTCCTCCTCCTCCTCCTTCCTCCTCCTCTTCCTTCTCCTCCTTCCTCCTCCTCCTCCTCCTTCTCCTCCTTCCTCCTCCTCCTTCTCCTTCTCCTCCTTGCTCCTCCTCCTCCTTCTCCTCCTTCCTCCTCCTTCTCCTTCTCCTCCTTCCTCCTCCTCCTCCTCTTCCTTCTCCTTCTCCTTCACCTTCTTTTTTGAGATAGAGTCTTGCTCTATCGCCCAGGCTGGAGTGCAGTGGCACAATCTCGGCTCACTGCAACCTCTGCCTCTTGGGTTCAAGTGATTCTCCTGCCTCAGCCTCCCAAGTAGCTGGGACTACAGGCATGCACCACCACACTCGGCTAATTTTTGTAACTTTAGTAGAGACGGAGTTTCACCATGTTGGCCAGGCTGGTCTCAAACTTCTGGCCTCAAGTGATCCGCCTGCCTCGGCCTCCCAAAGTGCTGGGATTACAGGTGTGAGCCATTGCGCCTGGACTTCTTTGCATTGCTGTAGGTAAAAATGATCGCAGAGGCAGGGAGGGCAGAGCAGGGCAAAAGCCACTGGTTATGAGCTTACTGTGTATCTGCTCTGGATATGACCTCTCTTGGGACCTCTGCTTCTTCACCAGGAAAATGGGAATAAAAACATCTACTTTGTAGGGTTGTGCTAAAGGTTACTTAATTTGAAAAAGAGAATGAAGCAATTTGCATAAGGTCTTATGTGTAGGAAGTGTTCAATAAATACTATGATTAGTAAGTCAAAGGTGGTTTCATGAAAGAAAATATTACCAAATATTTAACGGCAGGGTCTAAAATAACACACCTGACTTTGGTGAGAGAGAGAAGAAGATAGAGGAAGAGAAAGAGGCCGACTCTGAAACATATGCACGTATCTGAGTCAGACATTAAGTAACTTACTTTTTCTGGAAATTGATTTTAGTACTAGAGTTACCCAGTGGAACTGCTGACCTGAATTCTGAGAAAATAACAATAATGACACTATCTCATGTGTCTTGAGCACTTACTCTGTTCCAGGAGCTGTTTAAAAGTGCCATGTATAAATATTAAATCATTAAATTCCATAAGTCTCCTGTGAGGTTTTTTAAATGAGGAAAATGGAGGCACAGACAGATTAAGGGACAGGGCCAAAGCCACACAGCCAATTGAAGTGGAGGAGCTAGGACTTGAAGGAGGTGATCTGACTCCAGAGACAAAGGCAAATAAGGCCTCAAATGATATCATCAGAAGGCAAAGAAAACAGGTTTGAATTCCTAAAAGGATGTTTGGATTTCATGGCGGGGACTCAGGCTTGGCCCCCGTGTTCCTGGGCCTGTTTTGGGCCAAGGCAATGCTTTCACTGTGGAAGGGTAACCAGGCTATGGATCAGGGATTAGCACGCTCTTCTTTCTCTTGCTTGAACATTGGGTGGATGCTCAGCTTTTTCTTTCATCATTATAATCAGCATTCTGCACAGGGAGCAAGTTTTACATGTTAACCCTGGAGCACTATGGACAATAAAATCAGAACAGTCTTTTCAGGTTTCACCAAGAGCTTAGGAAGCCTGGAATTCTGAGAGCTAGATCATCTTTACCTTAATATTGATTGGGAAAGGGATATTTGGACTAAAGCATCACCTAGACCCACCCTTGGTACAGAGGCCCAGAATAGCATGGGTGATGAACAGAGCCAGGCAAGGGGCCTGTGAGCAGGAAGCAGGCTCTGAGTTCCCGACCTTCTCTCCTGGCAGGCAGTGAGAGGATCCATCGGACTTCCGGTGGCTGTGCAGTGCATTGCTTTGCCATGGGAAGAGGAGATATGTCTCCGGTTCATGAAGGAGGTGAACACGTTGGTCAAGAATCAGAGGGGGCCCAAGTGACAGGCTCCTTTAACGGAGTAACAGCTCAAGAAACATGGGGCTGGTTGTGGTGGCTCATACCTGTAATCCCAGCAGTTTGGGAGGCAGAGGCTGGCAGATCACTTGAGGCCACGAGTTTGAGACCAACCTGGGCAACATAGTGAGACCTTCTAAACATTTTCTTGGTGTTACTCCTGTAGCTCCTCACCCAAGTGTCCTCCTGATGCCCCTTCCTTCTCATGAATACCATGTCCTCCTTATGTCTCCTCCTTCTGGAACCCCACCAGGTTCCTTTTATTTGTTGGTCCCTTTGCGTGGATGTTCAGTATTCCTCAGATGGGCCCAGGATGGGGAGCAGCGTGAGGAGCTCAATAAACATTTTCTGACTGGCCCCGGCCTCATAATCTCTGGTCTGGGTGAGGCTGTAACCTCCTGGAGGTCTTCTGCCTCCAGCTGCTTTCCTCCAACTCAGTCCCCCTGATGCTACCCCAGACTGCAGTGGGGAAAGAGCCCCAAACAAAGAGGCTGGAGATCTGGGTCCAAGTCCTGGCTCTGTCCCTGACTTGCTGTGTGATGCTGGGAAGTTCCTTCATCTCTCTGGACCTGAGTTTCCTCATCTGAGTTTCACATTGAGGGGGTTAGATTTGATAAGGTCTGTGGTACCTACCAGCTTGACCATTCTGTGAGCTGTGATTTCTAGGCACTGCCCTGATTAAGAACTTGCCATGATTCCCACTGACGTCTGGAGAGGGCTCCAGAGAGCAAGGCTGAGACAGTGGAACCCAGTCATAGTGGAGCTTGGGTTAGGACCTAGACCCCTGGCTCACAGTTCAGTGCTTTTGCCGCAAAACACCAGTTCCTGGGTCTGACATCAGCATGTCTTCAGGATCCTCCATAGCCTCGTCTCCCATGGCTCCACCACAGCACTGCCTCCTTCCGTTGCCTCAAACTGGAGCCTTCTCACCAGCACAAGCCCACCTTATGCTTCTTCTGGCTCTGTGTCGCTGTTCAGACTGTTCCCTCCACCTGGACCCCATTGCTGTCTTCTCTGTCCTTCAAACCCTGTATCAAATACCACTTTCTCCAGAAAGCCTTTCCTGATCTCTCCAACATAACCCGCCCCCCCCCCCATTATTTTCCCCTCATCTGAACTCTCTTGAGATTCTCCTCCCATCAAATCTCTCCCTTCCCCCATCCCATTCCTCTTTGTAGCCCTACTTCCGCCAACTATGCAAATTAATGAACTCACTTTTCCCTGTGCTTAATAGCACAGACCTTCTGAAGACAATGCAAAGGAATGGAATTCATCCATCCACGCTACATTTTTTGAGTACCCCCTCTGAACACAAATGTGAAATTTCAGGCAGAAAAAAGCCTGACTTAAAAGAATTTAACTCAGATGAAGACTCCAGGAACTGCACAGCAGAGGGGGCAACCCTGCCTCTGTCTCCCATAGAAGGAACCACTTGGGGTGTCCAGGTGCAGGATGGACAGGGCTGTTGCTGACGTCACCTGTCCCCCCACATCAACTCTACCACAGAGTCTGAGATCTCTGCAGGAGAGGGAGCTTCAGAGTTTCCCCTCAGATGGGGTTAGTAGGGCTGGTGCCCTGTCTTCCCTGCCCTGTACCAGGTCTGAGTAGCTTGGAAAAGGTGGGAGATCTCCTGCCTCTTCTTCCTGCATCCCATTGCTGGTTGCGGTATTCTGGGCACCAGGGGGCACCATTGAGCTTCACAAGGCCCAGACAGCCCTTGCCCTCTGCTCTCAGACCCACTGTCGCTGCGAAGTCTCCAGTGAGATGCTTTGCTCAAGCTCCATTGCGCTAATGGGGGAAACTAAGGAGTGGAGGGACAGAGATAGAGGGATGCAGGAATTAGCCAGGCACTTTGGCTTCAGGTTAAATATTTGCAGATTTTAAGATGTAGGAGGTAGAATTCTCTTTTGGCTGAAATTAGCCTGGGGAAAAGGGGTGGCAGATACCGGCTCGAAGGACTGAATAAATGGGAAGCCCTATCCTAGGCGCAGACTTCTTTTCGGCCTGGGCTTTCTCTAGTATCTTCTGAGCTGATGTTTGGAGTCAACAACCTCCTTCCTCCCCACCTCCAGCACCAGCTTCAGTGCGACCCCTAACCTCTGACTCCTGACAACTACCTGCCAGCACCATCTTCATCTGAAATCACTCCGTCATCTGTGACTGTGGATGTCATTTGCTGTCTTGATATGGGGGCCTCTTTGAGGTCCATGTGTGGGTACATATGGAACCTCCTGGACCATATGTCTCCTCCTCCCCTTCCCACTCCTATCCCTTCCACCATGGAGGGCTTGGTCCGGGTACACACGGGTCCAGGTTCTTACTCTTTTTCCTCTGAGACATTGTGCAAGTCTCCGGCTTCTCTAAGCATCTGTAACACGGGGCTGAAGATAACGTCTGCCCAGCAGAAGGATGATACAGACCCTCAGAAACCGAGGGAGCAGGTGGGAGGGACTCAGGCTCCCGCTCCCCAGTCGCTGTGGCGTGAGGGGCCTGTTCAGGTCTGGGTGTCTGTGCCCAGAATTCACGGGGAAGAGCCAGCCCCTCATGCGGTGCCTCATGCGCTGCCTGTGAGAGAGCAACAGGGTGGGTCACTCCAGTGGAGGAATTTAGCTGAGAAACAGGAGCATTCTCAGGGTGATGAGCTCTAGAAAAGCTAAGGGCCCTTACTAGGACGTTCCGGGAAGAGGGTCTTGAATTCTGATCTCATTTCTGCCTAAGACCTATCCCCTTTCTGAACCTCAGTTTCCCTTTTGGCTGCATGTAGAAGGGGTGCCCGCATGCCCCCGCCCGCATTCAGTTGAAGGACCAGTCAGTAGGCCCCGCGCCGCCCAGGGACCGCTCGGCCTTTGCGTCCCACCCAGCACACGCCCCTTCCGTCGCGCGCGGCCTCGGGAGCGCTGGGCAGGCAGCCCGGGTGGGAGCGCCCACGTCTCCCGCGTATACGGACGGACCGGCAGCCGCGCAGGCCCGCTCCCGCCCCGCCTGCCGCGCCTCCCGGGGCGCCCGCATTAAAGCGCATATGCAAGCCATGAATTATCAACTGAAAGGAGTCAATTACCGGCTCTAAAAACGAGTGTCTGCGCCCGCAGCGCCCCGGGCCATCCGCCTATTTACGGAGCGATCTACCCCGCCCGGCTGGGGAGGAGGCCTCGGGAGGGAGAGAGACGGAGAAACGGAGCCCGAGACCGGGAGAGAGCCGGAGAGGCCGGGACTGGAGAGTCTGGGACACGAAGGAGAGGCGGGGAGAGACCGAGATTCAGCGAGATGCGCCGAGGGCCGGACCGGGGCCAAGGCGGCTCAGTCCCTCCCTTCCCCCGAGCAGGCAGGGAGAGGTGGGGTCTCAAGACCCCCAAGGCCCTGTTCCCCTTCCCTTGGCATTTGTGTAAGGACGCAGGCCCTCCGCACTGCTGACCGTGGCACTGGGCAGGAGGCCCCTGGACTGAGGGTTTGGGGATAGATCTGGGGCTCGGGCAGCGCTGGGCTGGGCGTAGTTTGCAGAGGGACCCGCCGTCCTGGCAGGAAACTGGGGAGGAGGCCGCGGCTTTGTCCAGAGTGGAGGTAAGAATGATGGTTGAACAGCATGACCACGAATAAAGGGAGGAGGGCTTGAGGATAGGGACAAAGTGATGTGGGGCTTATGTAGAAAATGATGCGCAGCCTCTCAGCATTGAGAGAGAAACCGGGAGACCAGCCGGCGCCAGTGGGACCAGAAAGTCCTGCTTCCTCCCCACCGGCTCAAGCTGTTCCCTCCTCTGGAAATGCTTTTCCTGCCTTCTCCCTACCTATTCTGTGATTCCAGGCCTCCCTAGCCTCTGTGCTGCCTTAGCCTCAACACAATACACTTATTATTATTATTATTAGTGAGAGGGTGTCACTCTGTCACCCAGGCTGGAGTGCAGTAGTGCAATCATAGCTCACTGCTGCCTCAACCTCCTGGGCTAAAGTGATCCTCCCACCTCTGTCTCTCAAGTAGCTGGGACTATAGGCACATGCCACCATGCCCTGCTAATTTTTTAAATTTTTTGTAGACATGGGTCTTGCTGTGTTGTCCAGCCTGATCTGGAACTCCTGGCCTCAAGCGATCCTCCCACCTCAACCTCCCAGTGTTGGGATTACAGGCATTAGTCCCACGACGCCTGACAACACACCCCATTCAATTCCATGATCCAGACCTGACTTCACCATAGGGCCAGGCCTTGTCCATGTTGCTGGGTATTGTGCCCTTGGAAGAAGGTCCTTGAATGTTTCTGAAAGAATGAATGAAGGAGTAAGCTGAGCTAGAGGACATGTTGGCCTGGACGAGGCTGTGACAAAGACGGCAGGGCCGGCAGGGCCAGTGAGCCCAGATATGGACCTCCCATACAGATCAGATGAAAGTCTTTAGGCAACCACCGTACTGGGGTGAGGTCACAGGAGCTGAGTTGAGCCCTTGCTGGGGGAGAGGGGGACAGGAAGTAGCAGGGGCAGGGAGAGAAGGGATAGATGGAGAGCTGTCATCAGCACCAGCAAGTCACTGCCAGAGCCCCGGGGCTTTGACTTGAATGCTTCATGGCCCCTGAAATCCTAGGTCTCTTCTGGGGGAAGAGGTTCAGGGAACCCTCCCCTGACTTTGAGGAAGGAATGGGGCCTACACTGGGGCAACGAGAAGATTCTAGGTTTGGGAATCAAACAGAGCCTTTCTCTTCTAGCTGTGGGATCCCAGGCAAGCTTCTTAACTTCTGAGCCTCAGGTTCCTCATCTATGAAATGGGGATGGCCAGGGAAGGTGCCTCATGCCTGTAATCCTGGCACTTTGGAAGGCCAAGGCAGAAGGATCACTTGAGCTCAGGAGCAACAGACTTTGTCTCTATAAAAAAGTTAAAAACTAGCTGGGCGTGATGGTTCATGCCTGTGGTCCCAGCTACTCAGGAGGCTGAGGTGCCATTTTTGAGGCTACAAAATACCAAGCGCTATGATAATGGATTATCTCTCTACTCTACACAACAGCTTTCTAAGGTTGCGAAGTCATTTTGCAAACAAGGAAATTCTAAGACAGGCAGGGATTGGAAAACAGCAGATAAAGTTTTGAAGTCATTTCTGACTCCAGAGACTCTTTAACCTAGGCACCATGAAGCCTCTTAGACCTGGTTCATATACCCACTGCCCTGTTCCCGCAGCCCTTCCAGCCTGGCCAAATCCAGACTGGGGGAAGTGGGGGCTGCACAGCAGGCAGGGCAGCTCAGGTCCAGCAGAGGTGGCCCCTCGGGTCTTGTTCCCGCCATGGCGTGGGTTGGGCATCTGTCCAGCTTGATGAGTCTCCAGCCCCGCCATGCCATTAGCGGGCAGCCAGAGGGGGTGTCTGCAATCGCCAACACTGGGG